CTAGCATTGCGACAAAGTGTTTCAAAACTCGGTTTTGACTCACTCCGAGTCGACTATTTAGGTTGAGTGGAAGAAAAATATAATTACATCTACCTCACAATAAGTGGTTCTTAATTTCAATTTAGGTTGAAAAAATTGTATAAAAAGATGTCACAGTTGTAAACAAAAAAAAGAAAGTACTAATTTTAGTTGTTTTGAATATTTATAATTGATGACTATGAAATCAACCAAATTGTGTCCTTGATTATAAGTAGGCTCAGCGAGAGAGTAGCAATAACGACCTAGGTTGGTTAAGCAAACATAGGGACCAAGACCACCGACTTCAAATGAGTGGTTGATCCCTTATTAATTCGCAGTAGCATAAGATGCGATGAACATCTACATGCCACGTGAATTTGTAAACGTACCATGATACGATCTTTGATGGAGATACGTAACATGACATCTATGAGACGAGCCCATATATCCCTTTAAGCAACCGTTTGGTGTAGCTGTTAAAACAGCTTATAGATTATAGCTTAACAGATTAGAGATTATGACTTTAATCATAAGTTGTTAATCTGTTTGGTGTAGCTGTTGGATTATAGATTTAAGTTGCTAAGTAGTGTTTGTTAAATAAGCTGTGAAATTGCTTTTTCAATTATTTTTTATTTTTTATTTGTCTATATTTCTCATAAAAAATAATAATAATAATCTATAGTCCATTTGGGTCTTTTTCTATTTTTAAAAAAATAAAAAAAAAAATCTAAGAGTATAACCATAAATTAACATGTCCACAGCAGAAGCTGATAATCAGAAGCAATGGGTGAGCACTTTCTCAGAGTCAGCTTTTTGAGTTAAAATAAGCTGTTAGAATCAGAAACTATTTGAAATAAATTTAACCAAACAGTCTAAAATAACTTTTTCAAAGCTAAAAGCCATAAGTTAGCTTTAAAAAGCTGAAACAAACACCCCCATAGAAACAAGTGAAAATAAATATGAAATACTAAGTAATGTATCCATACACAATTTTCAGACTAACGCTAACTTAGGTCTCGTTTGGCAACATTATTTTTTAAGTTAAAAGTAAAAAAGTCATCAAAAAATCAAAATGCCAAAAACCTACACTAAAAAATCAAAAATTTACTTTTCTCTTTATTTTTTGCACATTTTTTCGTAAAAAATTAAAAAATCATCTAAAACAAAAAAATCATTCAAAACATACTAATTTTTTTTTTATCATATTTTAACTAAAAAACCAAAAAATTACTAAAATAATATGTTCTCAAATGAAGCCTTAATCAACAGAGAATTAGGCCTATATGACCACTGAGCCAACTCATTAGCGCCCTTTAGAATTGAGTTGACTCAATGACATTTCTGAGTCGAGACACCTTAAAAAACGTTCATTGATCTAGCTAACCAACAATGTTCATCTCTTTTGTCTTTTATGTAGGACTTGAAAAATATGTTGACCGACGGATGCTGCAGACACGAAGAGGGTAGCATCCTCCCGTGTTCCCTTCACATTTTGTGTCTCATTTTAATGCAATGAGTCTTTTATAAAATCCAGAAAGTCCATACTTATCATGTTTATATTCTGTTTTTTCATTTTATATACAAAATAGAAATTAATTTGATAAGAAATAAACATTAAAAAATATTGGTTTAAGCTTATTTTTGAAAGTTTTGTTTTTTTGCGAGGCTCACGGGTTCGACTGACCTAGCTGCTTTTCACGGACCAATGGACTGAGCTGGTTTTCAACACCAAGACCTAAGAACATTCCGAGCCTTGTTCTGGTTGGATCATCATGCTTACCACAATGTTGTTGTTGTTGTTGTTGTTTTTTTTTTTTTTTGTATTGCGGTTAGTATGTTAATAGTTAGATTACAATGTAGGCTAACGTTACTCTGTAGACTCAAACTTGAAACCTCACTTAACAATTAAGTCGCCTCTCCACAATCACTTGGACAATTGGCCGGAGTCCAGACTACCCCTTATGCATCCTCTTTTTTCTTTTCTTTTCTTTTTTTTTTTCTTTTTTTTGTGTATAATATTTAGCACAATTTATGCTTCTAATCTACGAGGGGTTCTTTTCCCATTTATTTTTTATTTTATTTTGAATTCTTTTACTTTCAGCTCCCTAACAGGCTACTGTCTTTTATTGTGGATGTTATTGTTATGCTCCGATGGCTTTTGTGATGGAGCTTCGCAAATTCATTTCTTCTGATTGGGCCCTTTTTCTTTTTCTTTATTTTTTTTTTTTGGGGGGGGGAGTTGAAGTCATGAAATTTATGCATAATTCCATGTTTCCCAACTGCTAAATTTTGGATTTGTTTGGCTTTTGTGATGGAGCTTCGCAAATTCATTTCTTCTGATTGGGTCCTTTTTCTTTTTTTTTGGGGGGGGGAGTTGAAGTCATGAAATTTATGCATAATTCCATGTTTCCCAACTGCTAAATTTTGGATTTGTTTTAATTCTTCAGCCTAAATTTGCTTCTAACAAAAGAATGGTTTCTCTGTTGATTGAACAATTTTACAGTTGAAAAAAAAAATAAAGAAGGTTGCCAATGGATCAGATTTGATCCGAATCCAGTCCAAATTCAATAAGGAGAAATCCAATCAAATAATTCAAAAAGATACCAATTTAAAAATCTGATGATTAAATATTATTTTTATTCGATTATTAATTCAATCTCAAAAACATCTGTGAAACCAAACACAGCTAAGAGATAGTTTTAGAATGGTGAGTTTTGTCAAATTTACATGACTAATGTGTTATGTGATGGTGAGAGTAGTAGTCAGATAGCTTTCAAGATTAGAAGATGTCACGAGGATGAGAAAGAGGCTTGTGAATGCCACATGTTGAGGACCATTTGATGATCTTGATGTAGAGCACAAGCACTAGCACTAGCACACTCCCTCCAGCTCTGTACTTGGAATATTCTTTTGCTTATTTAGTTATTTAATTTATATATTGCAATTGATAATGATTTTTTTGTAGGTGAAAGAGTGAGAATGATGGCGTTAAAGACCACTTACACATAAAGACATACACAAGGAAAGTGAGGCTTGTGGATAACACACTTCCCTCTCTACCTTCGCACCACGTGTCCCACTAATTTATCGTCTCTTTCTCTCTCTCCTGTTTATTTTCTTTCGTGATTTAAAATATCAAAAATGCTAAAGATTTTAAAAATTTTACTAAAAATTTAATTAAATGTTTTAGATAGGTGTGGGATTCACATAAGACCTATTTTGTATGGATTCCATCACATAGATTTGATAAAAACTTTAATAAAATTTTTAAAATTTCTAACATTACTCTTAAAAGATTGGGCTGTTTCACTTATTTTGCTGTTTCAGTTTTTGTGATTATGTCTGTCAATATAATTTTTGTTAGTGTTCAAGTTCTGAGCCAATTTTTTGTTTTTGTTGTTGGTATTTTTGTATTTGTGCTCAGTTGTTTTAATTTTTTTGTATTTATAATTAAGAAGGAGATGACTATCACTATATCTTATAATTTTTTAATTGTAGTGAAAACTGTAATAATTATATTCATACACGTAATCCTATTTTTATTTCTTGTTATTATTTTTTTAAAATAAACATTTCTTATTATTATTCATATTTGTATTTCATATTTTATTGATCCTGATTAGGTGATGGAGGAAAGGTTGCTTTTTTAATCCAAATTCATGAATCTAAGCTTGCAAGTAGTGTTTTTCTTGTATATAATACTATTGAATCTTTTTCTTGTTCTTTTTTTTTTTTTTTTCTTTTTAATTTCTTCATAATATCAGTTGTTCCTGAAGGCTATTATTTTTATTTTATTTTATTTTTTGTTTTGGCCACAAGATAGAATGTTGAGGGTTAATAAATTAAATTATAAGAAAAATGTCACAATTGTTCTATCGATTTAAATTCTCAATCTTTGACCTTCTCACTATCTGAGGAACAATTACATGGACCAGTTGAGAGGGTAATTTATACATAAATTGGGTCGAGCTGGGTAATGGGCCGTTGTGGGCCACAGTAAGAAGGGCGGAGTAAAAAAGGCCTTGGCATTAGCCCGGTCCTCAAAAAAGGCCTTGTTGTTATCCCGGTCCAAGAGAGTGTTACAGACAACCCGGTCACCACACTCAGAGTTAGCCCGGTCGTGGCATGTTGCGGTTGGTTCGGTCAAAATCTTCCTATTCCTTAGCTCGATCTAAACACACCATGGTTTGTAAAGGAGAAGCCGAGGTAAGAGTAGTGAATGGAAGAAACCGAACTGGCTTTAGTTCGATCTACTCTGCGGCTTAGCATAACCATGCTTACCTCGGTTATACGGGGATCCGACCATGGTAAAACCATCTCACTTGGTTTAAGCAGTGAGGGAGGTGTTGAAAGATAAGCATTATCTTTCAGGAATGTGATTCCCAGAGGGACTCTACAGGGAGGAGTAAGAGTCCTACTAGGATTGTGACACACGGAACCTATAAAAGCTCGCAACATCACCTATGGAGAGGTAACACAACTTTGATTCCCGAATACGCAGAGCTTTTGTCTATTTGTCTATTTTGCTGACTTAGGCATCGGGGAGGTATCCGGAACACACTCGCCGGCTAGCTCACGTTTGTGTTTTCAAAGAGTAAAGCGACGTCGTACGGAGGAGCGCAAACTTGATCAATAGGATTATACGAGAAGGTTTATTTCTTTCCCGTACACCAAGAGACTATGCTTGTTTAACTTCCATGAATTGCTACTCTCAGTTGATGTACTAAACTGTTTCATGGTTTTCTTCTGAATTCCTCTTCTTCCTCCTCCATCCACATAAAAATGGAAAAGCAATGAAAGCTCCATTCTGGTAATCTCTCTGTGTGTGTGTGTGTGTGTGTGTGAGATATGTGAATTGAGGCTATTTTTGTTTAGCAGATTATATTAGATGAGATTGTTAGAGCATCTCCAATGGAGCTGCTATATCAGTTGCCAAAGCTAAAAAATGACAGGAATGGCAAAGAGTTGTCTCCAACGGTCTGCTATTCCACTTGCCAAAGATGGCAGATGCCATATGTGTTCTCAAATTTGGCAAGTGAAATAGCAAATGCCAAACTTGCCAGATCAGCAAAAGTCAACACGAATTTGGCACCAAATTCAATTGAAAACAACAGAATTAATCCAATAGGGAACCCATTTTCCATAATCAAACCCTATTTTCAGAGTCAAGCAAATTTCAGAATGAAATTAACAAACCCAAATCTGTCTCTCTCAAAAAAAAAAAAAATTAATTCATTTATCAAACCCTCTGTTTTTTTTTTTTAAAAAAAAATTTAATTCATTTTTTGCAGAATGAACATTGAGAGAGACAGATATCAAGAACATATATATCTAAAAAATTTGCTGGATACCATATTTGATGGATGAACAAAAAAAATAGATGAAGACAGATATCAAAAATTAATGGATGAACAAAAATTGATCAAAAAAAATAATTAAGAAAATTTGACAAAAAAACATACCAGATTTAAATCTTTTGAAGATCCGATTTGAATCCATCGGCCGCTATGAGTTTCAAAAATCACGATCACCTCAGATCCACATCAATAACCAGAAAAAAAAAAAAACAAAACAAAACAAAACAAAAATCAACACATGAAGACTGAGAGAGAGACAGATCAAAACATATATATATATATATATATATGAGTATGTATATAGATGGAGATCGTACTAGAGACAGATAGTACACAGATCGGAGGTGAAGATTGAGAGAGAGACAGAGTGAAACCAGAGAAAGGAGGAAGACAGACTGAGTGAGTGAAAGGGAGACAGAGTGAGAAACTGAGAAGAAGACCGAGTAAGAGAGTCAGAGAGGGGTTTCAATCATGGAGGAGAAGGGGTTTGATCATGGAGGACAAGGGGGAGTGGTTTGAGAAGAGAGAGACAGAGTCAGAGAGTGAAAATGAGAGAGAGAGAGAGAGAGAGAGAGAGAGGGGTTTCAACCATGGAGGAGAAGGGAGAGTGGCTTGTGCTCTGTTTGGTTTCGGCCATGAAGGAGAAAACAGAGTGAGAATGAGAGAGAGAGGAAGAGAGTGGATCATTCTAGATGAGGTGAGGCTGACGGTGATGCCTCAGTGTAATAAAGAGCCGTTGGGCTCTGTTTGGTTTGTTTAACAAAGAATAAATTAAATTAAATTAAATTATTTTTTACAACAGCTCTTTCAAACGACTATTTCCCCAACGGTAATATTTTTATTTTCTATAAATTAAAACCCTCCATGTCACTTTTATTTCACACAAACATTTACATTTAATTTTTCTTTTCTCCTCTCATCTTTGAATCTGATTTCACAGCAAACCTTTTAAATTATTTTCTTTTTAGTTTTTTCATCCAATCACTATGGAAGGTTCATCAAAAACAAAGAGGGGAAAATCATTCACCATTGAAGAAGATATGGCAATTTGTAAATCTTAGTGTCACATTTCGAAAGACCCAATTGTTGGCAATTCGCAATCGTATGCTCACTTTTGAGGGAGAATTTACGAAAATTATTGCTTGCTTCACAATGATCAGGCCAGAACACAAGTGGCTATTCAATCTCGATGAGGTATAATCATGAAATGTTCTAACAAATTTCGGGGATGTTTAGCTCAAGCAGAAAATCTTCACCCAAGTGGGATTTCTCAAGTTGATATAGTAAGTTTTTATCTTCAGTTATTATGTTTAGTTTCTTATTCTCGTATCATATAAAAATTACGTAATTAAATAATGTTTCAATTTTTTTTTAAACAGATGCTTCAAGCAAAACTATTATACCATCAAGATGAAAACAAACATTTCGCTTTTGAACATTGTTGGCCAATATTGCAAGACAATATCAGGTGGCAAGATGTAGCTCCCACGAATACGATAAAGTCAAGGATGCATATAGTTTTTACCCCTAATTCAGCCCCCGATTCCCCTATGGAAAACTGCATTTCTCTTGAAGACAACAACAATCCAAGTGTTGGTAACAATCCAACTGTTGGTGAGGGCAGTGTCTCTGCAAGGGGTAAAAGGCCAACCGGTAGGAAATCTGCAATAGAATTATTTTGGAAAAATCAAGTCATTGAAATTGAAGTCCAAAAAATGAGCATACAATTAGACACATTAACCAAAACCTTGCTAAGAAAGAAAAGAAAAAAGAGGAAAGAGAAGAAAAAAGGATTCAAACACTGCAGGAGATGAAGGAACTTGAGATGAAAAAACATGAGTTTGAGATGAAAAAGGAAGAACACCAAATAATGACTACGGATATTTCTCATTTGGACCCTCAGATGAAAGCATATTACACAATGCGAAAAAATGAGATTTTCACGAAGTGGTCCTCAAATGTGAGCAGCCCAAATTTTTATTTCCCCCTACCTCCTGATGAATAATTACCGGATAATGTATTTTTGAAATTTGCAATATGATTTATTTTTTGATGTAATTGTTAGTCTTTATTTGTAATGTAATTTTTATTTTGTAATGAAATTTCATGTTGTTTTTTTTTATTATAATTTTTATTTTGAGTATTTCGTACTTCACAATGTAATATTATAATAAAAAAATAAAATAAAAAGACATTAAAGGAAGAACATTTTATTAGAATAAAAAGACATTAACTAACATTAAATGACATTAACTGTCATTAAAAAGATAAAATGCAAACTTAATCTAACTCTCCAACTCGGGACCACAAGTGTTCAATTAGATCATTACGAATTACATTATGGGCTTCAATAAATCTAATCCTTTGCCGATTTAACATAAATTGAGCATACTCCTCATTCGGATCGCGTGATACTTGACAGTCCAAATTACTAGTATCAGTCTCAAGTTATGCTACACTGCGTTCATTTTCTAGAATATCACGCTCGTCTTCAATGATCATGTTGTGCAAAATAATGCACATTGTCACGCCCCAAAATTTAGACAATTAAATATTAAATTAGGACTAACCCCAATAATATTCCATCATCCAAATCTCAGGGGCGAAACAAAAAAACTAAAAAAAAAAAACTAAACGCCAACCAAACCATCTATCATAATTTCATAACTAACCAACACCTCAACATTGAAGTAGCAACAACCAATCAAAACAACTTAAATAAAGTATGGTTACAAACCATGCTAAATTATTCCAATACTAAAGTCATAAAAATAAATAAACACATAAACTACTAACAACCCTAAGCTCAAGAAAACAAAAGAAATCCAAGAGATATGCCCAAAAACTATAGTTACTTCTCGTCACCACCGTAGCCTCAACTAATCCTGCAAAGGAAGCCCGGTTACGCTCGAACAGAACGCACCCGAGTTGCCATAAGACAAAACGGGTCAGTATACAGGTATACTGGCATGAGTACAAGATCTAACACCCACGTGTCCACCAGACACAGACAAAAATACATTTAATTCTTATTACAGGACAAGACAAGTAGTTCCAACCGCACTGAGACGAATGGGTAGTTTCCCGAGATACGGTGGCATTTAGTTTCTTGTCCGTATACAACGAAATATAAATTTATTATAAAATAAACAAAATAGAAATAGAAATATGGTGGGTCAGCCCTGCATAAAAAGTTAGTAAGACCCACCATCCTGCAAAAAAAAAATAATGTTAGTATAAATTAATCATAAGTAACTTGCTGAATACGTATAAAAATGCACTGTTTCCTGTTTAAATAATTTGAATTGACCAAAACTCAAAGAACGAAAGTTATACAGAATCAAATTTTTTAAAAGACAAAGCGAACGAATTTAACAGAAACTAAACAGGTTAAGAGAAAAACTTGATCTAAAAATCTAGACGAAATTTAATCGAAAAATCTGAAACTGAAAACGAACAAAAACTGCCCTAAGATGATTTTTTTTCGAAAAAGTTCAAAACATGAAAAATGTGCAGAATAATGTTTTACTTCATTTTACGTGAAACCAATAAAAATGAGCTCGTTTCGTGGGTTAAAACAACCTATAAAATCTGCATTACCAAAATGAATCAAACCGACAATAACCAAGGTCATCCGATTATAAGTTCTAATCGATCTTTTTAATAAAAAGCTACAACACAAAAGTTGTCCAAAATCACGTATACATGCCTCTCCTCAAATTTCATAATTTATTGAGGTCGATTACTATTTTTCAAGATGTACAAATCAATAAACTCATAATTAAATTTTTGTACCTTAACTCCACCACTTCGGCTCTCCCCTTCCGGCCTACACATATATCCCATGTGCCTCCCGTATGCCTAACGCCGCTTCGAAGCCAAACTTGCACAGGGATATCGTTCCGAGTTTGACTCACACTCCCTGGATGGTTAGCATATACGTACGCGCGCAAATCAAAGCACTCGTCTACTCATGAGAACGAGGCAACAATATATATATACACAACATCTCACACATGAGAATAAACATAACAATGCCAAGCCTAAGGCATTCAAATAAATCTCATAATCCTCACTTTTTTTTATACACCAACTTGTCTCTTTCTCACCATCACTCAAATAAAACAACAATCCATGGAGTTATGGTAGAGTATAAGGAATTTATCTATAAGTTATTAATTAATTTTAATTTCATATAACCATATTAATTTTAGTTTCATATAATCATGAGGGTTATTACAACCATAAAATAAAATCATATAAAAACCCTAAATCTGACATGCACAACTAATCAAAATAATTAAAATCAATCAATCAACTAAAAACCCTAAACCTTACATACACAACTAAACTAAATAATTAAAATTAATCAATCATCTTTATATAAACACAAATTCTAACTAACATCAAATAAATAAAATAAAAATAAAAACAAAAACAGTGAATTAAACATAAATCAAGGAAAGTGGGTTTTGTACTCACTATATTATTTTGAAGATCTATGAAATATTTGGAGAACTAATAGAACCACCAAAACAAAATCCTAATTTATTTATTTTTTCCATCTCCTCCCTCTCCCGAGCCGTCTCTCCCTTTTTTTTTCTTCTCTTCCCAAGCTTTCTGCTGCAGCTCCCGTTTTTTTTTTCTTTCTTTCTTACTAAGCCTCTAATCATTTAACCTAATTGACTATATAACTGAGAGGGTAATTTTTGGGAAAAATTGGGCCGAGCTGCGAGTTGGGCATTGAGGCCCAAAACGCGAAGGACTAAGTAAAAAGGCCGTAATGGATACTCCGGCCCAGGAGAGCAATGTTACTCCGGCCTTGGGGAGACAAAGTTACTCCGGCCCAAGGTGGTGAAATTACTTCGGCTCACAAATGATAAAGTTACTTCGGTTAGAGGATTGTAAGTGTACTTCGGTCTATGAGCAACTTGAAGTTAGACCGGCGTTGAAGTTATATCAACCTTAGAGGTATACCGGTTTGGGAGTTATACCGGTCGAGAGTCGTTGGTTCGGTCCAAACGCACCATGGGTTGAACAGATGAGAAACCGATATAAGAAAGAGTAAAGGGAAGGGCTGAACTAAGGATAGTTCGGCCTACTTTACTTCGGTCAAATGATAGTTCGGCCATGGAGAAAACCATCCCACTTGGTTTAAGCAGTGGGGGAGGGTGTAAAGGATAGGCATTATCCTTTGGAGTATGAATCCTAGGAGGACTCTGCATGGAGAAATACAAGTCCTACCAGGATTGTGCCAGGGGAAACTTATAAAAGCCCACAAGCATCACCTTGGAGGAGGTAATTGAACACAATCTTTCTGAGAACTTAGAGCTTTGTCTATTTGTCAAGTTTTCTGACTTAGGCATCGGAGAGGTTTCCGGCACACACCCGCCGGCTAGCTCACGTTTGTGTTTTCAGGTGACAAAGCGACGTCGTACGGAGGAGCGTGGACTTGGTCAACAGGATTATACGAGAAGGCGTATTTCTTTCCCGTACAATAAATACACCCTTTTGTTTGTTTTTCTTTTCTTTTTTATTTATTTATAATATTATATTAAAACCTAATCCTATTCTAACTTAATAAACTATTTTAATATATTATATTACATAATACAACATAATTATAATATATATAAATATAAATATAAGATTAAATATATATATATATATATATCACTTCTCTTTTTTTTATATATATATCAAACATAAATATTTAAAGATTTGGATTAATTATATATAATTAAATAACACATTAAATTAATTAATCACCACATTTAATTCATTAAATATCACATTAAATTCTCATGTGACCACAAAATTAATAAAGCCAAAAATAAAATAAGATAATAATAATCATAATAATAAATAAATGACTTAAGAAAATTAGGGTCGCTACACACGCCTTCATGATGTAGTATAGACCCTCATCACTCAAACCTCTAGCTGGCACTCTGAGAATATTAAATCGTGCTTGGAGCACTCCAAATGCCCTTTCGACATCTTTCCGACATGCCTCCTGCATCCTCACAAATAGTTGCCTCTTTGCGCATTGAGGTTGAGATATTGCTTTCACAATCGTTGCCCAACGAAGATAGATACCATCAGCAAGATAATATCCCATGGTGTACGCGTGATTATTGATGGTGTAGTTGGCAACAGGCGCACGTCCTCTAGTTAATTCAGCAAATAAAGGCGACCTGTCAAGAACGGTAATATCATTTAGAGAGCCAGGCATGCCAAAGAAAGCATTCCAAATCCACAAGTCATAGGAGGCAACTACCTCGAGTACAACTGTTGGTTTGTGATAGTGTCCAGTGTAAGCACCGGCTTGGGCCCTTGGACATTTATACCAACGCCAATGCATACAATCCAAACTCCCTAACATTCCAAGAAACCCGCGTTGCTCTCCCTCTTGCAATAATCTGGCGACATCTGTTTCATTTGGAGATCTTAAGTAAACGGCTTCATAGGTAGCAACAATTGATCTAGTAAAAAAATTTAAGGCGGCAATTGCAGTACTTTCACCGATTCTAATGTACTCGTCTACAGCATCAGCAGGCACGCCGTACTGGAGGATCCGAAGTGCTGCAGTCATCTTCTGTACACCGGATAATCCAGGAGCACCAGTGGCATCACGAGTTTGGATGAAGTACTCAATCACTTATTGAATATCGTGTAAGATACAAACAAACAATGACCGCCTCATTCGAAAATGTCTTCAGAAGTATTCTTCTGGATAAACAGGATTATCTGCAAAATAATCTCTATAAATTTGTCAGTCGCCTTTAACCCTCTCACGATTAATGTATCGACGACCACTTGTGGAACCAACACGTATGGTTGGTTGGTTTAGGCTTAGCATCTGTATTCTTTATTGTTACGCTGTGAATAGTTGCATCATGATGATATCATCATCAGATGATGAAGATTCATCAAAATCTCCATTCAATATGGCTTTAGTCAAATTGTTCATTGTAGGTAGATGGGTGAGTGGGTGAATATAAAAATTGTAGAAAATCTGCTGGGTGGGTATAGAGAGTTTAGAAGATATAAAAATGATGGATAGGTGAATATGAAAATTATAGAAAATCTTGCGTTATATTTATAGAGAAAATGTGGATGGGTGAATGATGGGTGGTTGTTGGGTGTGTGGATGAATGATGGGTGGTTGTTGGGAGGGTGGATGAATGAATAATGGATGGTTGTTGGGTGAGTGGATGAATAATGGATGGTTGTTGGGTGGATAATTGTTACTGAATGAATGCTGGGTTAATAATGGATGGTTGTTGGTGGTTGGTTGTTGGTGGGCAATTGATGATTGTTTATTTTTTATGTGTAGTTAAAATTTTTTATTAAATATGAGGTGATATGTTTTTGGATGGGGTGAATTAATCGAACAAATTTTTTTTTTCCAATTTTTCATTTTTTTTTTATATTTGTCTAGTTAGGAATAATATATAAATATATAATTTTTTTAACAAACAAGTAAAAAAATTTCACAAAAGACAAAAAATAAACAAAAATAAAAAATAACTTATATCCAAACAACACCTACAAACTTGGAGGGAAAATTTGTTGAGATTTGCTAAAAATAGCAAATGACCATTGGACCACCATTGCTATAATTTGGCAAAATAACACTATTCATTGCCAAATTAAAGCAATAGCAACAGCAATATAGCAACAACCATTGGAGATGCTCTTAGTGAGGAGATGATTAGTGAAGAGATTGTTAGTGAGGGGATAAGTAAAAGTGTGTTTGTTTTGATTATAGTATGAGAAATGGTTAGTAATGGGATTGTTAAATTATTTTTATATAAAATAAAAAAAATTATTTCAATATTAAAAAAAATCTAAAACAAATATTAAAACAAACTGATGCACTTAATAAAAAAAAATAGCCTAATCCGCTCATTATTTTCCTAATCTCACCCTCTATCCAACTAAGCTAATCCCCTTACTGAAGGGGATTACTAACTCCCTTAAACTATCAATCAATCCAACCAAACACATTGTAAACAAAACCCACAGCCATAATAATCCAATCTAGCCACTAAAGCCGATAAATAAACATGACCTGAAAGTCTCAATCTCTCTTTAAAATTCTTGTATATGGCAATAGCCCTGTTTGGTACAGCTTTTTTTCAGCTTAATTTAAGTTATTTTGATGTGTTTGGTTTAGCTTAAGCTTATAGCTTTTTGTAAGTCAGAAATCAGCTTATTCTTTGAGTGGGGCAGGAGAAGTTTAATTTATGAGTCAGAAATCAGCTTATGTTCATAGTTATAAGTTATAAGCTGTTAAGGTATAAGCTATAAGTACTTTCCCACAGCTGTACCAAACAGGACCAATAACCCAATTCAATTCAATCTGAAAGTGATCCCCATTACCCAATTATTCACTCCCCTTATATAAACCCAACCCATAATTCCTCTCTCACCCACCACCACCCAAGGACAGATCTAGGGTGCGCGTGGATGTAGTGACACCCTAAATTTTTTAAAAGTCATATATATTATATTAATAAGGGATATTTTATAATAAATCTCATCTCACAAACAAGTACTTCAATTAGTTTTAAAAAAATTTCGATCTATTGAGTCTTATTAGTTGAGAGTTTACTTCCGCGTGGTCCTATTTTTGATATTGGTAGTATTTTGGTGGACATCAATATCATTTTATTAACGTGACAAGTATGATGTAATATTCCAATGTTGTAGGTATTAACGTGACATTCCAACAATGTGACACTTCAAAAATACTAAAAACTCCGTAGTGTACTTTTATCAAATGTGACAACGTAGCGGTATGATGTGACACTCCAAAATTTTTACTCCAAAAAAATTAAAAACTTCTTAGTGTATTTTTCTTAAATATGGCAGCGCGGCAGATATAATGTGACATTCCAAAAAAATAAAAACTCTTTAGTGATGTGAAACTCGAAAAAAAATAAAAACTTCTTAGCATACTTTTTTGAAACGTGACAACATGGTGGGTATGATGTGACACTCTAAAAAAAAAATTCTTTAGTGTATTTTTTTCCAAACATAACAACGTGACGAGTATGATATGACACTAAAAAAATTAAAAACTCTTTAGTGTACTTTTATTAAATGTAACACTCCAACGTTGTGGGTGTAATATGATACTAAAAAAACTTTTTAGTGTACTTTTTCAAAATGTAACACTCCAATGTAGCGGGTAAATGAGTTATTACATATCTAAACGGACTAAATGGATCACAAGAAAAAATATGGGACTATATGGATTACAAGTCCAAAATATGGGACTTATTGGTCAATTTCCCTATTAGTAATTAGTAAGATAATTTTAAATTAGAATATTTTGTACTTTCAAAATTTTAATAGTTCGTACCTTTAAGAATATTTTGCACTTTCAAAATTGGGTAATAAAAAAGTATGGGCAAAAAAAGATTTATAAGGACAGAGTGATTAAATGCAGCAGATAATAAATTAATACACAGAAAATAAAAGGAAGGAAAGAAGAGCTCAACATAAGAATTTATAATGGTTCGGCTTACTGGCCTATATCCACTCCTCAAGAGATCTCCTTGAGAATTTCTTCACTATAAATCAATGCACCACCAAGCTTCACCTAGCTTGTGGATCTTTACACAGGACTTACTTCAATCTATTGAGGACCTCTAAACTATATGCCTCACTTTACAAGTATTTCACTCAGAAAATAAGAAACAAGAATAAGAGGTACAACTGTTCTCTTTTACAAATATTCTCTTTTAAAAGATGAATATGAAAGTGTAAGATCACAGATAATTCACTCATATATGAAAGTTGAAGTATATTAAATGCTCTTGATTGCTCCTGAATGCTCTGGGTATGTTGTATTGAAAAAGTATTTTTCAGATCAAGAAAGCTCCATCTTTATAGCATTAATGGCTTCTAGCTGTTAGAGAGAGAGGGGATTTGAATCTTCTATCCATTGGAGAAGATCATGGAGGATATCTTCCAGCTGTGTTTGACCACAGTATGGTGAGATGCAGACTGTTATGCAGGTCTTGGGAAGAGAAGGCTCATTAAATGCACGAGCTTTTATTTAATGCTTATCCTCGTAAGTCAACATCTTAGAAGAAGATGTGGTACCAGAAGATCTGCTTAGAGGTCAGAAATTATGACATATTCTGTACATGAAATTGAAAAAGTGGCTGCAAAAAAGGCTGTGTCAGTCCAGTTCTGATATGATAGCTGGATTTTTAAACCCATATTTTACAAGTGTCGACCTCTGCAAATTGGGTGTCGACCGTTCACTCTTCTTTTCTTCTTTGAGTTTTGTTCCAGGTGTTCCTGGTGTCAACCCTTATGAATGTTGGTGTCGACCTTTGCTGCTGGATTACATTATAAAATTTAATGTCGACCCTTGCTGTTCTCGGTGTCAACCTTTGCTTCTGGAAAGCAGTCTGAAATTTAGTGTCGACCCTTGCTGTTCTTGGTGTTGACCCTTGTTGTTGGAATATTTAGGCATTTTGAGCTTTTACTCTGGTGTCGACCCTTGTTGTTCTTAGTGTCGACCCTTCGATCTGTTTTAAGCATGGATAGAGTTGTGCAAACCAATGCTAATGCTCATGTTTTGAAGGTCCAAAAATTATAGAAAATAATATTCTAGAATCATATAACTTCTAGAACCATGAAGCAGTATTTTTATTTGAAAACTTTGAATAACAAAATAAATTCAAAATATTTGTCAATAATCAAAATCAATAGATATTTAAGTTTAAAAAACATTGGGGCTAACATCTTATTTTTCATTCATTCTTGTTTGTTCATCATTTAGAAATAGGAATATTGTCTAAAAATAAAAATATCGTCTATTTCAACATGAAAATAAGTTCATAAAATTTAATACCACTTATTGAAACGGATTATCATTATACTCATCAAATCATACATTTTCAATTATAAATTTTTTCAAAACTAAACTTTCATAATAGGATGGAAGATTATTTTGTAACAAGTTACTTGATTTTATTTATTGAAAAAGATATTAATTAAGGTTTTGATGTCAAACTTATCATAAATGTTTTTATATATATTATGAAAAGTGGCGATTACGACATTTTCAAATAATTAACTTTGGTAAACGAAGACATAATTGTAAAACCCAAGTTTTGAATATTATTATTTTTGGATAGATTGGTAATTACATTAATTTATATGGGTCACTTAGTAATATCAAGGATTTAATTATGAGATGGCATTATTATTTCAATAACATAGGTGGGTAATTTTGTAATTTTGGAAAAGAAAAGAACATTAGGTTAAGTAGCCATCATGCCGTGGCTTTGTCTGGGAGAAGAAAAAAAAAAAAAAAAAAACAAACAAACAGAGGGCTTGAGAGGAAGGCTGCGCAAGGTTTGAAAAGTAGAAGAAAAAAAAAATTAAAGAAAAGAAAACAAACCAAAGTGAAGAAGGAGGATTTATAGAGTGGTGATTTTTCTTTATTCGTCACTTAGGTAAGATTTATTTTATTGTATTCTTATCTATGATTTTGGTATTAATATATCAATAGATGATTTTATGGGCATATATGATTAAATAAATATATTGATGCAGTCTATGTTA